AGACCATGTCATGTCATTTGTTGACTCTCATCAAAAATTTTATTGAACTACTATTTCATGAATTTATGTCAATAAGTTTGGTATCAAATTGTTGATTATAATTCAAATTTTAGAACTATACATTACTCAATTTTTTATTTAAAAGAAAATATAAAAAACACAGATAAACATCGATTGTACCTGATAATGACATAATAGTTCTTCTACTTTGTAGTACTAGTACAGCCTACAGTGATAATGTAATTGTTAACAGTTTTTGAACATGGCTTTTAACAGGAAAACCAAAAACAAATTGTCATTAGTATATTATGGACCATACAAGATGTCTTTGCATCGTTTTAATCGTTTACATGCTTGAGGTGCTTATGATTTTATTCTGAATTTTCAATCAGCTATATTAACTATATTTTCTCTTTAGTTTATATGACATATTTTTTGCCAGCAGTCCTGCGACACAGTTGTGGTAGCTTCATATCTCATGACTTTTTATTAATTATATTTTAAGGTTCAGGTATTACCAATGTACTAGGAGTAAAGATAAATCAAGTTAACTTCATAACTTAAGAATAATAACTTCAGTACCATCTTACCTCTTTGATTTTATTTCTTCTTTCTTTTATTACAGGGTCAGTTGGTTCACCATAATCACCCACCCAAACATCTCCACCAAACTTCTTTCCATGTGGCAAATATTCTTGTTTATATACATTATTATGACCAAAAGATTTCCCACTTTCTGACTTTTCATCTCCTGTTTTTTCGCCAAACTGTACATCATTATTGCCATCATTCAAATTCGATTCATTGGGCTTTGGCAATTCCACTTGTGTTTTTTCACTCTCTACACCTATATTTCTAATTCTTTCTTTTTCAATATCTTCTTGTATTTTCAAATTAAATTTAAGTTTATCTACATTTTTATGTGGATCTAATTCTACATTATTTACAACTCCATGCCTCACCAAGTTTGCATCAACCTCTTCTCGGGGTGGGGGTGGCAAAAGTAACTCGGGCCCTGCTTCCTTGAAACGTTTGTAAGCAGTATGGATTGATTTCCCACCACGTAGTTCGGGTAGAAAAAAGAGAGACCCTAAACAAATCACACCAAAAGTACCTAAAACCAACAGAATTATAAATTTTTCACGTAACCTTATTGTTTTACGTAGTGAAACTTGTGGAACACCATTAACATATCGTTGATAAGTTGGTAGAATTGCATTGGATGCCATGACACATCAGTGCTCGTAGATGTTTTCATAAGCTTCTCACTCAAACATAACACATCTCCTGGTTTCTACGAGAAATGGCAGAAGTGACTGTCTTAACATAGTCAATAACCTACATTGTTTCCACTCAAGATTTCTGGAAATCCTGGACTTGTGCATAAAAACGTGGAATATCAGCAAATAATCCTAAAATAAGTCCTGAATCTACTATAATCTATTCAAAACACTTTTTGTTATAAATTTCATTTTTTTTTGTTTTACTTTCAGTAAAATTAATTTGTTTAATATTTTTGTCAAATTTTTAAAAAGATGATTTAGAAAACTAATGAAAATTACAAAACAGCATACATAAAATAGATAGTTAAATCGTAAATATCACAATAATCTATTTTTTAGCCCTAAATAAATAAAAAACAAATTATTTTCACTTTGCAGTAAAATAAACAAACTTTTAATAAAAGTATCTTTATTCATAACGAAAATAATACTTTCTATTCGATTAATAAGTAGAATACACGAAGTTGCAAATAATAGTCATTTGTCTTGAGGTCTGATTGCAACTGCGAACTTATACGCGCAAAACATCCACTTTTACTTTGCATTAATACAAACAGTTTCTGTGAAAATACGCTTATTTGTAAAGAACAATGAGGTGTTTTCTCCATGGGATTACAAATCAGTAAATAAAAGCTATCAAACTCATTTTATTTAAATTTCAAAAACAAGGGATGTCGGTGTGTTTGTGTGATATATTCATTTTTCTAAAATATTTCTTTGTTAGTAATTAAGCACTGATGTATTTAGTAGGTAGTGAATTTTTCATTGAATAGATAAAAAGTAACGGGTAGTTCACCCTGTGTTTGAAAGATAAAATGGTTGCCTAATGATTTCAGTGCTACAAATGAAGAATATTTTTGGTTAGATAACACTGAAATATTCATCAGTGGGCAAAATTATTCAGAGAAGTAAAATCCACCGAAGGTAAATTATGTGTCATACCAAAAGTAAACTGGTGTATCCAATGTTTTAATCGGTTTTGATGTGATATGTTCAATTGGGCAGATGTAGAGATTTCATAAGCATGTAGTTTTTCACTTAGTATTTTTAACACTACAAGTTTTTTGCTACAAGTTGCAGTTAGAAC